GTCGTCAGTATTTGTTCCTGCACTCAAACTTCACTTATTTCTGTCATTTAAAGGTTCTTCAGTGTCGACAGGGATGTAAAACATGCCAGCACTCCTGTCAAATTGCAAATTTCCTTCCTGTTGACAATATGAAATAATTATTTTATGCCAATTTAGGTAATGTCAACAGATTCGTTCTTCTTTTTAGTTTTAGCCATGAGTCTCGGAAGACCAATGAAATCTTCCCTGCTGCCTCTTGACCAGTTGGATAACAGCAGTTTATCACTAGACCAGCTGTTTTCTGACTGGCTTCTCTTTGAAGGGACTGGATATCACTTGGACTGTCTTGAGTTCTTGGAACTAGTTGAATACCTTCTGCCACCTTAAGGATGTTTGGGATCAATTTTATTTTTATTCATTAATGGGATGAGGACAACGCTGGCTCGGCAGCATTTATTGCCCATCCCTAATTGCCCAGAGGGCAGTTCAGAGTCAGCCATATTGCTGTGGGTCTGGAGTCGCATGTAGGCCAGACTAGGTAAGGATGGCAGTTTCCTTCCCTAAAGGGCATTAGTGAACCAGGTGGGTTTTTCCGACAATCAACGATGGGGTCATGGTCATCATTAGATTCTTAATTCCAGACATATTTTATTGAATTCAAATTCTACCATCTGCCCTGGTGGGATTCGAATCCAGGTCCCCAGAATGTTATTGGGTCTCTGGATTAACAGTCCAGCAATAATGCCACTAGGCCATTGCCTCCGCATGCATATCAGCTCAAAAGTGTGAAATGTTGTTGGTAAAATACATGTAGACCCTCAGTTTTCCTTTGCTTTTTGTGTTGCAGAATTGCTTGTAGTATACCTTTTAGTCTTGACTGTTAAGATACATTTTTTCATCTCTGTAGGCTGCAACATTTGTTTCTTCATCCATGGCAATTGAGTCGTTAAGACAATGACACTGTATCAAGCTTAAAATTTGTTAAATGTTCATTAACATAAACATATTCTGTCAAACTTGAATCAGTTAGATCACCAACTTCCCCTAGGGATGCATTGAGTATCTTTTCTCATGCTGCTGGTTTGAATGCATTAATATTTATACGAGTAGGCATTTAACTTCTTTCTGATCAGTTACAACAGCATACTTCTGCACATCCTCTGGAAGTGGTCTATTGTTTTACAAATGCATCAATCGCTTTTCATAACTGAACACTGCTTGTCCTTGTAAGGCTTTGTTGTTCCTCAGAGCTGACGCTAACTCTTAGCTGACCCTGATTCTTTCTTTTTGACATAGTGTGAATTCCATCATGTTTCCTAGAGAATTTCCCTCCGCAAGGCCTGGCCTGTTTTCTCACCGCATCTTGCCAAACCCATCTCATTACCTACCTACCCCACCTCTATGGACCCCTTCTCATCTGATTTTAGCTCCATTCTACCCCTTTCCATACCTGGAATGACTCAGCTCACCACTGTTGGGATATCCCAGGATAGACTAACATCCCTCATGTTGTCGCCATCTTTAAAAAGTCATTGTGCCCCCACGCAAGCATTGTGTTAAGCTGGAGTCGCCCCACATGGCTCCTGATATTGAGTCTTTATGCTGTGGGTATGTGTGATTGGTGCCCATGGAGCATGCCCTGAGATGTTGGTGTCTGGTCCAATATTGGTGAATAGAGAGATAATTAATGAAATTATCAATGGATTACCCCAGATGCTGCATTTTTCTGTTAAATCATACACTTTCAAGAGTAATTTTTGCTGTCAGAGTAAGTTAATTGTCAAAAGCTTGTAGAACTTGTTCAAATGTATATGTGCCTTCTTTTCTGTTTGGATAATTTATGACATCATCACCTGTAGGTCCTATTCAATACAATTGTGTATTTACTTGTACAATCTTTAGTGTCTGTTTGAAGCAATTCTGTATGTCCAGAACTGTTTTCCCCAAGAAATCTAAACATATGTTCCATTTGATCCATCTCTGCTGTCAGATTTTACAGGTAATATTATTTCTCTTGCCAACTATTTCTAGTGTATTATTTATTCTTACTGCAGAATGTTAAAGCTTAAAAGCATCTGAATGCTGCAGTAGGGTTTGGGTTAGCCCTAACCCTAACCTTATCACCGCTGTAATATCTTTCCCATGAAAATATTTACTTCTGTAAGTAGCACCACTGTTTTATTTTCCTCGTCTGAAAGTTTTAACACAGTGCAGTGTAGCGATGCTATATTGTTTTCCTTCTTTTAAAGCTTTAAATCCTGTTTCATAGTTATATATATATAAAACTGTATTTCTTTGTGGAATTTTTGCCAATTATTTGCAGTCATTAGCTGGTTTCCTGCCTTCTGCAAGCAAAATAGAGGTTTCCTGCCAATTTATGGGCAAAATTGACTATTTCCCCACTCTTCAGGGCCTAATACACCAAGTACAACTTCCCCCACATAAAGCTTTGTGCCTGTGACCTTTTAAAAAAAATACTTCTTTTTTGAAATGCAATATATGTATGGATTTCCAACCCTCCCGCAATGTCAAAGATCTTCCAATCATTTACTTCTGTTATACTTTGTTTTAATTTTTAAATTGCCCTTTTTGTTGGCTTAATTCTGCTTTACAATGTTCCCAGTGCTGAGACCTTGGTATACAGTACTTCAGTGGGCCATAATTTCTCTATTGAATCATACCTTGTGGTGCCCGCTCAATGTGACAACAATGCTCATTGAGAGCTGTATACTCCTATTTTCACTCCTAGTCTTCTCAGCCTGATTTTTTTTTGTGCCGTCTATTTTCCCTAACCCAACAAGGGCTCTAACTTTACAATCAGAGATCTAATATGTTGACTTGCTAGGTAAACCTATAACCAGGCATGCTCCTATTGATCCTGGCTTCCCAATGGAATCTGTGACTGTCGGATGTAACTAGTCTTTAAGTTCTTTCTATCCCTCATTGCTTCCTCTATGCTCCTTACCAGGTCTGAAGTAATGACTAACATAGAGTGTTGTTTCTCCCATGTTTGTCATTTCACAAGTTTCAGTTGACTGTAAATTGGTCAAGGGCATGCAGCTGATGACTGTCTGACGGAGTAGTTCTTGAAGCGGTAAATTCTTTAAAGCTGTAAACTTATTTCGTCTTCTGGAAATTTCTTCTCCTGGGTCCATTCAGTTTTTTCATTGCTCTACCTTGTGTTACAACCAAGGAAATAATGATACCCATCACTCATAACCATGTCATACTTGTGTATCTAAGGATGCCTCTTTCCTCTAACTGGTTTAGAGGGCTAATTGGCTTACAGTGGTCGAGCATCAACCACTATTGCATCCTAAAAAATAAAAGATTCTTAGTTTATCAGTTACATCAGTTTGGTAAACATTGTTACTAAGAATATAAGGGGATCTGTGGACATAGGTTTGTATTCCATGAGATTCTAAAAGTGCAGGAATGCTCATTGAGAGAAGTGTACTAATTCTAAACCGTATCTCCATCCAACCCAGTATGATACCATCAGACTGGGTGAAGCTTAATACAATTTCCAATATTAACTCTTTCAGAAACAATGCCCTATACAAAGGAGACCAGGGCAGCCCGGTGGCTCAGTGGTTAGCACTGCTGCCTCACAGCACCAGGGACCCAGGTTCGATTCCAGCCTCGGGCGACTGTCTGTGTGGAGTTTGCACATTCTCCCTGTGTCTGTGTGGGTTTCCTCCGGGTGCTCCAGTTTCCATCCATAGTCCAAAGATGTGCAGGTTAGGTAGATTGGCTATGCTAAATTGCGTAGTGTTCAGGGATGTTTAGATTAGGTGGGTTATAGGGGTATGAGTCTGTGTGGGATACTCCAAGGGTCAGTGTGGACTTGTTGGGCCGAAGGGCCTGTTTCCACACTGTAGGGATTCTATGATTCTATGATTTGTCTTCTGGAAGGCACCCAGCCTCTACTAGGAAGTGCCATTGAGTTGGGGCTGGAATATGTTTGGAGCAACCATGGTGATCTAGGGCGGTGTAATTCCAAAATGCTGCCAAAGCCCACAGTTCTTTCTCAAAATGTCTCTCCCACTTGCTACAGCTAGTGCACTATGACTAATTGAAGAGGCTCTGCCACTGAAAAAGAAAACCTTATTGCATTTGAGATTTATATAAATTAAAGGAATATGTGCTGATTTTTCTCATTCTTATAATGTGTCCATCTATATATAGTATTCTATGTATAAATATGTCCAGTCGGCAAAATGTAAGTGGTTGGAAAATAAGGTAGGGTCATGTACATCTTTGATATATTGCTCCCTCAGACTCACCACACAAAATAAAAAATGGGCAGGTAATCTCAGCCCTTCCCTTTATTTAAACCTTGCAGCATCAACCTGATGCCTAACCTACAATCAGGAAGCATTCAACTTTAGTTAAACACTTCTCGGAATGTAATTACAAGTAAGCATTTGCAAAGTGGAAAACCAAAGAACTATGGATGCTGGAAATCAGAATGAAGGATCCAGTTCTCAAGAAGAGTCACTGGACCCGAAACATTAACTCTGCTTTCTCTCCACAGAAGCTGCCAAACCTGCTGAGTTTTTCCAGCAATTCTTGATTTTATTTCCAATTGCAAAGCAAGGTCTCTGACATTCTAACCACCGATCTAAAGTTTGACCTTGGTACTGCCTAATGCTTCAGTTTATTGTCTCGATCAGCTGGGTTTTGACATTTTCTTGGCAAGTTTTTTAATTGAGATGTAATATAGAAATGCAGCGAAGAAAACAAATCCTGTGTCTAGTTGTTCCTCCCTGCAATTATTTCTCCAGCTACTTCTTATTGCAATGCTAATATTTGCAGCCATGGAAAAATTAGGCTTCTTGGCTTTCCTGTTGGTAACTTGTGGAAGGTGTGCATGAAGAAAAACCTGCAGCAATATTTGAGACAACCAATGAAAGAACATTGAAGGACATTGGATGGGCTTTGATGCTAACAAATTTTGCAAAGTGAAGGCAAAGTCTCACATGTTGCATGGTATTTATAAGTATTTCCATGTTTACTAGGTATTACAACAGTTCTAACTATGACGACACTCAGTACAATTTCCCGGAAATCGCTGCCAAAGGTGTCCTACATCACTGCCATGGATCTCTTTGTATCTGTTTGTTTCCTTTTTGTCTTCGCTGCTCTCATGGAGTATGGGACCCTGCATTATTTTGTCAGCAACAGAAATAACAGCAAAAAAAAGAAGCAGAAATCCAAACCAGCTGTAAGTCTTTTTAAAAAAAAAACTTATTTTACTGAAGATCAATAATAACGTATTAGACTTTGTTTTAGGAAAGCAAGCTGAATTTTAGAATATGGAACTTTACCTTGAAATTACATACAAAGATCTGGCATGATTATACAAAATCCTTTTGTCTCATATCTTGGAGCTTCCAAACAAGCCATTAAACGTCTGCTTTTCTGGATTGATAAAAAAATCCCGAAGCATTATTCAAAGAAAAGTTGGAATTTCTGGTCCCTGGATAACATCCATTCCTCAAATAACACCAATGAAGTTGATTATCTGGTCATTTAATCTCAGACCTTGCAGCGAGTAAATTTGGCTGCTCTCTTTACTGCATTGCAACAGATTATGTTTCATAAGTATTTAATTGCTTGGAGTGCATTGATAAATGTAAATTCTTTCTTTCTCAATGAATTAGAGTGTGTTGATGTCTGTTGAAGTAGCAGCCATCATAGCAGACATTTCAGATGCTAGTCATCGTACAGTAATTTCAAGGCTTTGATATCCATTTAGGAAACATTGTCAGCAAAAAAATAACATTGTAATATGATTACAGTGTCTGTTTTCATTATTGAAAGAATTATGTGATTAAAATGGTTGAGTTGGTTGCTGACCGTATAGCATGAACAATACAGTGTACTGTACATTTATAACATAGATTTTGTGACCATTATTGTAACAAGATGTGTACTGATGTGCCATTTGGTGAGTTTTGTTGCATGCTGTTAAATTAAGAAGAAAATTAGGAACGCAAAGAGTGGACATGAATAATATTGGAAATTAAAATCAGTTTTGGTACATCAGATGCAGTCTACACATATTTTAGTGAGAGTTTGACGAGAATTCACATGGTGGAATGGTTAAAAATGTAAAAGTCCATAAGATCCTGGGGAAAGTGGCAACACAGATGTGAAATTGGCTCAGTAGCAGGATGCAAAAGGTAATGACTAATGAAAATTGATTCTGGTGAGATTTTGCTGGACACAGTCCTATGATCCCTGCCTTTCATGGTTTTAACAATCATATAGGCTTAAATGTAGGATTGATTAAGAAGTTGAAAAATCCTCAATAAACTGGTGTATGCTTATTAGTAAGCAAGAAAACATAGAAGAAAGAAGGTGATGTCTGTGCGTATTGTCTCAAATCTTCCAATTTGAGGAGATAACCTCTGACACTCCTTAGACTGTTGATGCACTTTAGTATCCAGAGTAAGTCCCCATGTAAACTTATGCAGGAAGTTTAGAATTCTGATTTCCTGTTTTATCCTGCCCAGACTGCTCTGTGATTCCAATGCCTGTGAGATCAGACTGCCAAAATTGTGAGATCATGATTATATAAAACATGTTTTGTTTTTCATGAATAATCAGCGAGTCAAGTCAAATGGCTGTTAGTTGCTCTGACTTATTTGCCCGAAGTCCTTATCATTTTAGGCTGAGGAGTAGTTGGAGCACTAATTAGATAGAAGAAAGTGAATAGTGAACCAGACATTACAAGCATAACCAACTTGAATCATGTCATTTACTTGAGGGCTCAGGAAGTCCTGCTTGTGAATTCCACATGATCATAATCATAATGTTCTGAACAAACCTCCCCACCTCTGCCTCCCTTGGCATGGAAAAATTGTTACGTATAGGGAAAATCAAAAGTGAAAATGTGTACAAAGTCATGGCAAGATACTATAAAATCATAAGATGTAGGAGCAAAAGTAATCCATTCAGCCTATTGAGTCTGTTTCACCATTCAAGGGGATCATGGAATATCTGATTCTCCTAAACTCCACCTTTCCTACCATTACCTCTCGATTTTCTTACTGATTAAAAATCTATCTATCTCAGCCTTAAATGGGAAAGATATGAAGAGCAGAAAACGGTCACAAAACAGCTTATGTTTTGATTATGAATTTGTCCCTGAGCGAACTATATGGTAAATGGAAAAGCCCTGGGGAAAATTGATGCACAGAGAGATCTGGGTGTTCAGGTCCATTGTACCCTGAAGGTGGCAACGCAGGTCGATAGAGTGGCCAAGATGGCATACGGCATGCTTTCATTCATCGGACGGGGTATTGAGTACAAGAGTTGGCAGGTCATGTTACAGTTATATAGGACTTTGGTTCGACCACATTTGAAATACTGCGTACAGTTCTGGTCGCCACATTACCAAAAGGATGTGGATGCTTTGGAGAGGGTGCAGAGGAGGTTCACCAGGATTTTGCCTGGTATGGAGGGCGCTAGCTATGAAGAGAGGTTGAGTAGATTAGGGTTATTTACATTAGAAAGATGGAGGTTGAGGGGGGACCTGATTGAGGTCTACAAAATCATGAGAGGTATAGACAGGGTGGATAGCAAGAAGCTTTTTCCCAGAGTGGGGGACTCAATTACCCGGGGTCACGATTTCAAGGTGAGAGGGGAAAAGTTTAAGGGAGATATGCGTGGAAAATTCTTTACTCAGAGGGTGGTGGGTGCCTGGAACGCGTTGCCAGCATAGGTGGTAGAGGCGGGCACGATAGCATCATTTAAGATGTATCTAGACAGATACATGAATGGGCAGGGAGCAGAGGGATACAGATCCTTGGAAAATAGGTGACAAGTTTAGATAGAGGATTTGGATCGGTGCAGGCTTGGAGGGCCGAAGGGCCTGTTCCTGTGCTGTAATTTTCTTAGTTCTTTGTTCTTTGCTTATGAAGGGATTATAAAAGGAAACATGCCAGGGACATCAAAATCAAGAAGAGGAAATTTTATAGTTACATAAAAGGATAGTCAGGAGCAATGTTAACTCAGTAAAGGCTGAAAGTGGGGTATTGTCAACGACCATGGGGAAATGGCAGACATGTTGAATAACTACTTTGCCTCAGTATTTACAGTAGAAAAGGAAGGTAGATTGCTGGTGGTCCCGAGGAAATTAATAGTGGATTGGGAACAGGGACTGAATAAAATTAATATAAATAACACATCAATAACGAGGCAATAAATGGAACTAAAGAGTGACATATCCTCAGGACCTGACGGTTTTCATTCGAGGAAGTAGGGGATCAAATTGTAGACGCCCTCACTATAATCTTTCAGAGTTCCCTAGATATAGGAGTCAGCCTTCTGGATTGGAAAATTGCACACTGTCACTCTGCTTTCTAAAAAGGGTGAAAGAGGAAAACCAGGGAATTACAGGCCAGTCAGCCTAACATCTGTGGTGGGGAAATTGTTGGAATCAGTAATCAAAATGGAGCAACTGAGCACCTCAAATTTTCAGTTAACTAGGGAGAACCAGCATTGATTCGTGACAAGTAGGTCACACCTGACAAATCTTATGGAAGAGGTGACTGAGATAGTGAACAGGGCAATGTCTGTGGATGTTATTTATATAGACTTGCAGTGGTATTTGATGAGATCTCACATAAAAGACTGTTAAATAAGGTGAAAGCCTACAAAATTGAGGGCAAATTGCTGACACGGTTGAGTGGCAGGTGACAGAGAGTTAAGATCATGGCTAGGTGCTCAAATTGACAGGATGTGACCAGTGGTATACCACATGGATCTGTGTTAGGGCCTCAATTATTCACATTATTAATTAACAACTTGGATAGAACATAGAACATAGAACAGTACAGCACAGTACAGGCCCTTCGGCCCATGATGTTGTGCCGACCTATTATCCTGCTAAGATCAAACTACCCTGCATACCCTACATTTTACTATCCTCCACGTGCCTATCCAAGAGTTGCTTAAAAGTCTCTAAAGTATCTGACTCAACTACTACAGCCGGCAGTGCATTCCACACGCCCACCACTCTGTGTGTGAAGAACCTACCTCTGACATCTCCCCTATACCTTCCTCCAATCACCTTAAAATAATGTCCCCTTGTAATAGTAATTTCCGATAATGGCATAGAAAGTCGTATATCCAATTAGGCAGCATCATGGACAATGTAGATAGTAACATAAAATTACAAAGGGATGTTGATTGACTAGTTGAATGGGCAAAACTGTGGCAGGTGAAGTTCCATGTAATTAAGTGTATTGTTATCCATTTTGGACCGAAGAAGGTTAAATCAGAATAATTTCTAGATGATATGAAATTAAATACACTTGTGGTCTAAAGAGACTTCAGGTGCACAGATCTTTAAAATTTCATGAACAGGTGCAGAAAATAAGCAGGAAAGCTAATGGAATGCTGGCCTTTATATCTAAAGGATTGGAGTACAAGAATGCAGAAGTTATATTGCAGCTGTACAAAACCCTGGTTAGACCCCACTTGGATACTGTGAGCAGATCTGGTCACCATACCTTAGGAAGGATACATTGACCTTGGAGAGAGTATGGCATTAACTTTACAAGACTGCAGAGGTTATGTTATGAGGAGACATTATACAAATTAGGCTTGTTTTTTGTAGCGTTTAGAAGGTTAGGTGGTGATTTGATCAAAGTCTTCAAGTTAATAACAAAAAAAAAGACAGGTTCAGTAAAGATAAACTATTTCCACTGGTTAGGGAATTCTAGAAATAGAGAACAAAGTCTGAGGAAGAGAGCCAAAACATTCAGGAGAGATGGTGGTAGATGTTTGGAACTCTCTTGCACAGCAGTAGTGGATGCTGGATTGGTTGTTAATTTGAAATCTGATGTTGATAATATTTTTTAAGCAAAGGTAATAATGGATATGGGCTAAACACAGATATATGGAGTTATGCCACATATCAGCCATGATGGCATTGAATGGTGGAATAGGGTCAAGGGACAGAATAGCATACTCTTGTTCCTATGTTCATATAACTTCTTCACATCTACCCTGTCAAGCTCACAAAGAATCTTACATTTCAATAAGGTTGTCCTTCGTTCTTCCAAACTACTCAACCTCTCCTCATCAGAAAGTTCCTCTGAATCTGGGATCAACCTCATGAACCTTCTGTGGAGTGCCTGCAATGCCAGTATCACCTTTCTTTGATAAGGGAACCTACTTGTTATCTCCTCAAAGAATTTAATTAAATTTGTCAGGTTTGATTTCTCTTCCATGAAGCCGTGGTTCTGTTTTTTTTATTCAATGCCCCAACTTACAGTATCAAGTATTATTTAGACTTTCTTAGCTACCTGTTAACTTGCTCTGCCTCAGCCACAGATTTGTAAATATATTCTTACAGATTCTTCTGCTTCTGCCCTCCTCCGAATATTTCCATTTAAAAGATTGGCATATATCAAATTGCTTATTTAAGAAAATTGTAAGCAAGTTTTAACTGTTAGACTCAGTGACATGACAGATCAGAAAGCATCTAGTTTTTTTATGAATCTCCCAAAACAGTATTGATTACAACTAAATGGTATTGGAAGATCTTGTTAGATACAAGTTTTAACAGAACATAAAATCCTGGATAAAATGATCTAATTGATTTAAATCAAATTTAAAAAATGCTGATATTATTTTCTCAATTACTTTTAGAATACATTTATGTCTGAGAAAATACTGCTTTATGGAATTGCTTCAAGCTGCAGTATACTCTAGCTATTGAGTTGTTATTCTGAGTCATAGTTGTGTGAGGATTACTGATCACATGACAGATATTTTCATCCAGAAAATGGGAGAAAAATGAACCAAAACAGCCAGAAATGTTGATTCACTGACCGGTCACATAATTGCTTTTCCATCTGTGCAGTGACAGCATAAAGGGAACAGAAATTGTATCATAGATTAGTTTACCAATCATAGGTTTTCCTGAACCCATGAGCTGAAACAGTAGCTACTGTAATATTTTAAAGACTGTTTCATGATTTTTATTGTACTGGTATTTCTATCCAAATAGCTAGAGGGCTAGAAACTGCAGGACATAGAATTAAAATCATTGCCAAATGAATCACAAGAGTTCTTTTTATGTATAAACTGCAATAGAGTGTGTAAAAGGAAGCAGATTCAATTGTAAATTTCACAAAGATTGGACAAACATTGTTGGCTGAGGCACTTGGTATGAAAAGGCCTCCAGTGCTGGATGATTCTATGCTTCACTGAAATGTCAAGAATGACACTTGATGAACTGCAAATTGTAAGCATCAGCCGCTCAAAGATCCACATGTCCCCTTCTTTTTGTGATTCTGAGATAGTTATTAATCTATGATATATTGTATCTTTGATATATTGATCTTTGCAGAATTCAAATTCTGACTGAAAACTGTGATTATATAATGTGATTTTCCACTGTATTTGCAGAAATCACCTGTTATTAAAGTCCGTCCAGGATCAACATTAATTCAGGTGAACAACATTGCACACCTACAAGAACGGGATGATTATGGTTACGAATGTTTGGATGGGAAAGACTGTAAGAGCTTCTTCTGCTGTTTCGAGGAGTGTCGTACAGGCGCATGGAGGCAGGGTCAAATACATATCCGTATAACCAAAATTGATTCCTACTCTAGAATCTTCTTCCCGACAGCATTTGGTCTGTTCAATCTGGTTTATTGGATCGCATACCTTTACCTATAAAAACTACAATTCAGTGACATAAGAGGAGGATGAATAAATCTGCAGTGGTAGAATTTTAGCCTGTACAACATTTGATTGTGTTGAAATCATCTTTGAATCAGTTGACTTACTGCCAAATGTGCAGCTTATCTTGAATTCTTGTGCCATATACACGAGTCATGCACATTTTCAAATAATGATATTTTTCAAGATGTAAATTTGATAAAATACATACATTTATATTCATTTTAACACTTGCGTTTTTGTCATACAACAGACAGCTGACGGGATATGTGACCCACATTGCATCTTGGACAGTACACACAAGTTATCTAGGATAAATCTGGACAATCCCTATCATTCATTTCAAGAAGAACAATTTAGTTCTAAAGTCTAAATGGAATTAAAACTAATCTAAATTGAATGTGAAATGTCACATGCTTAACTATGAGCTGCAAACAAGCCCATTTTCTGCTCAATCCTTCTACTCAAATTTACGAAACATGGTGGTATTTTGACCAAAACTATAACACAGCTAACCTTTAGCACATTTTCAAACTGGAATTTTTACAGAAGCCTATTATTACACTCAGTACATCACTAAATGATGTGATTTCTAAGAAGGTATTCATTTAAGCTATGTATAATTCACCATAAAACTGATCAATAAATGTGTTTCTGACATTTTCATGAGTTGCTGATCATGTTTGCATTTCATAAAGACTAAGTGCACTTAACATCAATGTGATCTTGGTCAGCAAGTTATGATATGAAGAAAAGGCATCATCCATCTTGGGGTGCCGTTATTACTGAAAGAGATGCAGATCCTCTAGGCCCCAAATTGATTCTTTGCCCAGGGTGCCAGTTGCCTGAATTTTATTCGAGTGACTTCACACTTGAATTGCATTGCACAACTCGTATCAATAAAAAAAAAGTTTTAGCTTTGCATCAGTGCAAACTGTGCATTCTAACTGTCTAATAAATACATCAGGTTTTTTATCATAACTTATGTGGCTTTGGCCTAGCACCCTGGCAAGTCCGTATATTTAAATTACCCAAGAGTTACTGTTCTACATGTTTGGCAGCCACCCTAGGTTCAAAACCCATAGGTATGCTTTATGGTGAGTAATACAAAGCCTTAAATGCAAATGAAAATGAGGATTTAGCATTAATTTTGAAACTAACGATAATGAACTATATCTATAGAAAATTGTACAGCTTCTCCAAATAATAATATAATCTCAAGGGAAAAATAATATCCAAAAATACATTGTACGATGGATATTGCATTTTTATAATGAATAGAAACCCCAGCATTATATTCATTTCTGATATGTAAATAATGGAAAGTGGGCAACAATATATGTGTTTTATTGGTGTATTCAATAGACACGTTAACGTGGATGTAAGCAGATCTTTTGTACGATTCAACAAAATGCCCACATTAAATAATATTCCTTTTCTATAATCCCATTTAGTATTTACACTGAGTGCCCAAATCCAATAAACTGAAATACTGACATTTCTTAATAATTTGATAATATAGACATTTCAGTGAATCTGCTGCATTTTGACATATGGACATGATATAGCGACTGTCATTTGAATTTTATACAACAAATATTATATTTTACTATTCAATTTTTGTCAGCATATCTTCAGTTCATTTCAGCTTTCATTTTCCTTGCCTGAGCACCAATAACATCAGAAATTGATTTAAAATAAGTCTTATTCTCGAGAGCGTTTAACAAAAATGGCATCAGTTTTTAAAAAAATGGTGCCAGCACAATTTTAATTCACAGTGTTCCAAACCAACCTAGAGCTAAACTTAATGTAAAATAGAATATTTCATAATGTACGTTATGCTTCAATTTATCCAATATTATAAACACTATATTAAAACATCTAGAATAAAAAGCTTAAAACAGAATCATAACTGGAAAGACAGATTTATCCCTCCTCTAGCTTTGTCGCTACCACCTGCCTGCTTTGACTATCCTTTCACCTTATGCTATTCTATCAGCATAATTACTGTTTAAGAGATTCTCTCTGCTCCAACTGACGTAGAAATTTCTGTGTCTAAAAAAGTACCAATTAATGTTGTGGCAGAGAACATTTGGCTCTGCAGTGCTATTTTGAATGTGTCAGTGCATGTGTCATCTCACCCATAACGTATTGATTGCTTTAGGCTTGTTGCCAGCTGCCCAATCCATTTGTAGTCTAGATACCCAGCATATGCACCATTTGCAAAAAGGAAGCTTCAGCAGGAAGGTGTCAATTGAATTTTTGATTTGTTCGGGACATCATGTGCCTATTTGAGCTTTGGATTGTACAAGTTAGTGTACGAGTGAGTAAGTTAATGAGTGCTGTTTTGCTGGTGATCCTGCTGGATTGTCTGGCAGGTTACATGTCTATGGAGGACAAGTGATTGATATGTTTGTTTTGAACTGTAGAGCTCTGAAAGCTTTTCTTCAATCCCGTGGGACTCAATTATTTCATTTACCTGTTTTGCTCAAATAATTGATATTATATGAACTGCATGGGAAAACAACTGGAAATCACCTAAGCAGCAGTAAAATTTTAATCTTCATCAGCAAGGGCCAAAGTCACACAAAAAAAACCCAGAGAAATGTTCAGGATTAAAGGGGAGGGTGGGGGTCAAAGAGTGGGATTTTCCTAGGCAAGGGGCGGTTGGTTTGCCTGCATGCGAGGAATTAAATTCTTAAAAGTGAAGCCTGCTTGAGATTCACCCACTTTCAGCACTGAAGTGTGATTAAAGGAGGGTTGGTAACCTCCCCCCCGCCCCTCAACCCCCTTGAGTCTGTCTAAGAAGTTAAGTTGCTTAAGAAGCTAGTGAAACCAGTTTTTTAACCCTTAATCCTGGAAATTTCAACTAGTGCACCAGCATCCAGTGACTCACAATTCTCACTGATGAGAGTGCACAGCAGGAAAAAGATGTTCAAGGAAACTGACAAACATGGAAAGCTCTGTCTGAGCAGTTCCACTGAAGAACTGTGACCATGGCCTGGTGGGAGACTATGATAACTACAGGACATGTGACTGTCAACTTGTTGGAAATCACACTTCACTTGTCTCACAGCTCACTCATCATCAGCTGCACTTGCTTCCTGCCGGGCTTCCCCAGGATCCCAGGTGCAGCTTACTCAGCTCCACCTCGCAACTCTGACAAGAAAGACGAAGGACAAGAGCAGAGACAACACCGCTCACCCCACCACCCCAGGAGCAATACCACCAGCAGCAGCTGCCATCTCAGCCACAGAACCGTCTGAAGGCCAGAGGGAGGGTGAATACGGGATCTAGTTGGATGAAGCTGAGAGGTAGGACACCATTTGTGAAAAGTGACAATGAGAGGTAGGTGCAAGAGGATATAGGCCGAGGCTAAATGTTACTGAAAGCCTTGCGCAGCTTGGGGGGGCTGCGGGGCGGTGGGGTGGTGAGATGTCTCAGGAGAGAAAAGTGACAGCAGTTGCAAGGTATGTTGGTCTTGGGGATTTTGTGCTGGACAATGCTGGGGAAATCAGCGTGTAAGCTTTGGTAGCTGAAAGTGTTGTGGCACTGCCCTGTCCTACCACCCTGAATTTCTAGATCATCAAGGTGAACTGTCTCCAGGTTGGACGCACCATACTCTTGCTGCTGACTTTCTCATCCATTTCTGTCTGTGCTGTTTCGAAGAGTAGTCCACTGCTCCCCATCTTGGAGAAGACTCACCTTATTCAGTCCTCAGATCCAGCACAAAGACTTCCCAGGAGGAACCTGTCTGGAACACCTCCCCATTCCTGTGGATGGAACAGCTCATTGAGTCCTTGTAACAATTAGTGTGGCATCTTTCATCAGAAATCCTTTCTTTGGAAGAGTGGAAATGTCATCCCGCCCATTTTCCCTGATTGCGGAACAGGAGAAAAGCCATTCGTAAATCAGGTCCCTGACTCGCAAATAATCCAACCAGTCTGACAGGGTGTAAATCCACAAAAATTCCCCTAAAGTGTGCACATGACCTTAAGGCAAGAGTCAGTTATGGAGGATCACGTGGCAGAAGAGAGAAACTTGAATATGACTGTTGCCAAGTGAGGCTCCCTGAGGTGAGATTCAATATTATTTTATTAACTAATTGTCAGACATGTTGGAGTTGTCTGATAGTCAGTTCTGCTGCACACATTATGTTGTCACCTATACCTGATCAGTATTCTTCTAGGCCCGAAACGTCAGCTTTCCTGTTCCTCTGATGCTGCTTGGCCTGCTGTGTTCATCCAGCTCTACACCTTGTTATGTCAGTATTATCTGGAGTTATCTTTTTGTTTTGGCAATATTTCATGCAATATTTCAATTATTTACTTGTAAGTTTCCATCTTCTGATTTATAGTTGCAGATCGATACATTATTCTATAATTGTAGGCACTCTTCTGAATGTTTCTGTAGATAATAATCACGTTTTACAAGCAGGGCCTGTGAGATCAGAATCCTTAGGCTCTACAACAAGACAAGAATTAAACTGGATCTCCAGGCATATAGTACTCACTTCCTGAACTTCAGGTCATCAAATCCTGCAGCCCTGGTAGCCTCCATTTTTCATTGAAATTTTATCGTTAACCCCTACTCAACCTTGATTCTGCAGATACAGGGATTTAAACATCTGCTCAATTTATTTAATCCAGCTGCAAGACTGGAGAACTGAATTTCCAGGCCAAGATTTCCACACACAGTTTAATATTAGGAATTGAGGACAGATGAGAATCCTCAGAAATGTTACTATCACACAGTTAACATTCAAACAGCATTATGACACAATTTTAAAGCTGTGATGAAATTATTTCTTAGAAATGTAATGGGTTTATTACAATATGCAATGTCTTTTAAGACAGCTGCATTGTTTAAATCTCCAAATTTCTGAATTTAGCCTCTGTTTCTTACCCTAGATTGAACACTTATAAAGAGATGACAAAATATAAGTGTGAACGTAATACATTGCCCAGTATATCTAGGCATTGAATCTTGCAATGACC